AAATAAAACTCTAATTTGATTTAAGGATAATGTTAAAACTTTATTAGCAAGAAAATAAAAATTTTTTGTGAATATTTCAAAAATGGAAAGAAAGCACATCAGAAGAACATCATTAAAGAAAAAATTGAGATGCTAACCAAAATCCTGGCATGAAAAAAGATTACAGACAAATAAACAAAATACATCATCAACCATATCCTCTTTCCAGAAATTGAATATTTTTTAAATAACATGGTCCTGACAGAAGAAGAATACAATAGACTGGGCAGTAAGATAAATAAAGTTTTTAAACATAAAGTAGGACTAGCCACAACAACACCAAACTGTATTATCCACTGTGACTTCAAATATAAGCTCTTCAGCTTATGGAATAGACAGATTCTCATGTACAGAAAAAACCTGCTCCATAGATTGAATAGTCATGACCTGGGAGGAAGAATAACACAAATCAGACTACAGCAACTACAGAACGAAAATTGTACCAATATATCTATTTTAATGGATAGATTGCCCTTCTAGACTCAAAAAAGAAAGAACCTGACAAATAATATACTAAACATGTTGAAATGTCAGGGAATCACACTGGCCCTAACTGAACACACATGATTCGGAAAAGTTATTTTGAAGAAAGGGAAGACTATCAAGGAAATAGTCACAGAGGAATGGTACCACAAGTACAGAAACTCTCTTAGATATAAAAAAATCTTATTCTTTGACCAACTTCTCAATAACAACAAAATGAGATTCCTTTCTTGGCAACAAGTACATACCAGATTGGGAAAACAAGGTTGTATCCCCCTCTGGTATAGAGAACTGAAAGAAATATCAACCAAATTAGGAACCCTACAGGAGAGAGACACAGAAGAATCAACAATTATCAGAGAGGACAAGAACAACAATCCAAATTTCAACAATTTCAATTTCAACATACCAGTATACCCATATAAACAACAGTCAACAATTAAATGGCTGGCAATCAAAAAAAGCACAGCAACAGTTATAACTAAGAAAAAGTAGGTCATAAATAACCAGGCTATTCTAGCCATACACATAATTAGAAATGACAAGTCATCACCAGTGTTTAAATACAGAGGTTGTCCCTTTAATGATATAGAATTTAGAAAACAATACAAGGACCAATGGTAATGTATAATGATGCAACTACTCAGGAACTCAGTAAATATCAGAGTCTCAAAGAGCACCAGAGGATGCATTACAAAATCACAGGAGACAGACACAAGTCAATCTAAAATGAATATACTTCAGTCATCCCTCAAGGAATCGAATATGCACTCAGAAAAATCAATTGCAAACAACCACCCAACATAACTATACCAACCATATACTTGGATTCCAAATCAATCACAAAGAACATAATCCAGAAGAAATTAAAGGGTCCACTTAGAACAATAACGAGACTATAGCAGATAACACAAAAAATTGCCCCTGGAACAATCTACAAATATATACAGATGGCTCTTTTATCAGGCAACACATTAACAGTAGAATAGAAATAGGATAGGTAATCCAGACAGAGTCATAAATAGATATCACTACCTTTTAAGCAGAAACCAGAGATATCCCATTATTCACCAGAGCTGAACTAACAGCAATATTAACAGTGATCAGTACAGTTGATGCAGAAAAGAAAATTAACATTATTACAGATAGTCAAAGTACAATCAATGTGATAAAAAAGATATTCAAGACAGGTAATACTAGAAACAAAACAATGAAGAATTCAAACAGATGTTTAATCAATACAACTCTAGAGATTATATTCATGCAAAGAATGAGGTCAAATGAACAAAAATCAAAAGTCACTCAGGTAACTGAGGAAATGAACTGGCAAACAAACTAGTAGAAACCACACTGGTAGACAAACCCAAGGACATAATTAAGGTACACAAAATAAATTCAACAAGTGACATGACATTACTTAGATGGAACCAAACTTTCATAACCTTCTCTTTAGTACAATAGGGAAGACACTTCTAAAAACCAAATGGATAAGCAAATGGGGAACATTGAGATAGATGCAAGAATGGCTCACTAATTCCAAGTCCAAGAAGATAGACTGGAATATAATACTACAAACACTATCACTATTCAAAATCACATCATTACAAACAGACCAGAAGAATTGTAAAAATAGATCCTTCAGATAGAAGACCTGGTTAAATGAACTTTCCACAGTGGTGAATTTGCACACACGAAGACCACATCTTTATAAGATCCAACCTGAATTATTTGCAAGAAACAAGAAGAAAAAGGTTTCTATCTCCTCATATATGGACCTAACAAGATGAGACTCATGGAAAAGTACAATTCCTTTCTCACAGAAGAGTGTGCAGTCAGGGCTAATAGCTGAAAGCAAGATGAACCAATCCACAAAAAATGAAACGTTCATTCAAACTAATGACAAGAGCAAATGGAATAAGAGGATCAAATAATATATAATAGATAGACATCATCAAAGGGGCCATAATGTACAAGATGAAGCAAACTGAGTTGAAATCACAAGCAACAGGAAAGTAGCAATGGCAGTTATAAAATCAGCAACAGCCCATTTCTAGAAAGAGAAGAAAGAAGTCTGGAAATTGAGATGCAATATAATGATAGAATAGGAAAAAACACAAGGGATCACCAAGAAGAAGAAAAGGGAGCAAATGTAAAACAAGTATCACCGACAAATAAAAACATCCAAAAGAAAGAAGGACTGCAAAATATCAATAGACAACTATATATAGAGCTAACTAACCATGTCATGAAAGAGATCCTGGAAAATGGATACTCGATAAATACAATTTTTTCATTAAATTTCAATGTTGGTGTAGTCATGAAATGATAATATTCACTGCCAGGTGAACTGCAGCGAGTCACAGGGTTCAGTAAAATACTGAGTCAGTAGTTTTTTATTATCATAAATGAATTTTCTTACAATTAAATTCGTGTATAAAAGAAAGTACAAATGATTAAATAAAAACTATATGTCATGACTTGCCAACTTAAAAAAAATTTTTTCTTGTAAATATCTTTTTTGTATATTAGCAAAGGGTCAGTGAAAAAAAATATCATTAATAATATTGTTTTATTAGAAAACTATTAATATATTTATATACTGTATATTGTTATTACTAAAATTAATGTTTTATTTTTTGTTTATAAAAATTATTAAAATATAATTTATTTTTTTTTTAAAAAAATTTAAGTTTTTTTAAAATTATAAAAATTTTTAAGATTTTTATTAAAAAATAGATTAATAGACTTTAAATAACCTTTATTAAATAATTGAAGTTTTTTAATATATAAATAAAAAAAATATGGTTATAGTCTAGTATAAACTATTTAATTATATAATAAATCTAATTCTATTTAATTTATATACTTTATACAACACACTTTTTCTGTTAATTATATGATACAGTAAAACAAAAAACCTCACATTTACAGTTTCAAGACAACAGCTCAATATAAATGATAGTTGAAAACTTTAAAGAATTACTAGCTTCACTAAAACATATTATAATGAAAACTTTATAAGCATAAATAACCTGAAGACTATTCAAGTTGCAAAAATAGCTGTCACTTTGAAATTTCAACCTTTTTTTTTTTGAGCAGATGGCCTATACCTTGATTATTAGATGTTTTTATAATGAGTATGTACAAATTTATTTATATAAATTTATCACTCTATCTATCTAATTAAACTCACTAAAGAAATCTTCCTATCATATGGCTTATTGTCAAGTACTGGTATATACTTGACTAATTTGCCAAGGCTCTATCTGTCCCATAAAAATTTTGTTTTAAATAAATAGATTGTGTCCAGTTAATCCAGTGGTGACTGGCATGTGCCATTATTGCATTGATTCCTGGAATGCAGAATTTGTGTATGTTCTTTTTTGTGGTTATGGGTTGCCATTGCCTTTTTTCTTTTGTGGTGATATTGAGTTCCTTTTTCCATTGTATAAAGTTATCATATCCATGGTTCCATTTTCCTTGTTATATATTGAGGAGTCTGTTAATAATACTTTTGATGATTTCCTTGTGGTGTTCTATCATTGTGTATTTTTTTATAGTTTTTATTAAGTCCGTTGTAAGAGCTCCTCTTGCTATATAATTCTTGACTTAATTTGACCAGAGTTTTGCTTGTTTATTGAGTTCTTTATTGAGATTGTGCTTTGAAACTTCAACCTATAAATAAAAAGAAACTTATTACAATATAGAAAAATATTTTATTTGCAAATAATCACTATTCTGAGATGAATACAAATCACTTTCTCATTATACTTACACTCATATCAATAGAAATAACATAGAGAAAGTTAAAAATAATCCATCTGAACCACAAGAAAATAATTTTGCTATCTATGCTATAATAATATTGCAATTCATAAACTGGGATTATATAGTAGCAGTTGAAATAAAACTCAATACAATTAAGTAAAAAAGACACTTGCATTCCAACCACAATCACAATTAATCCAAAATTGATAAATATATACAACAAAAAACAACAATTAATCTACTCTTAAGAAAGTGAAAAAAATTCGAAAAAAAGTTAATGACTTAATTCATAATTATCCCAAACTTCCCGACTTTCCTTTAGCAGAAGAAAAGTAAATATAGTTCGCGTATATTTATTTAAAATCTGTATAACGCTAACTAGCGTTATTTTTAGCTTGCCATTTCAGATTGGAAATAATATCTCAGTAAAAGAGTACAATACTTTCCTTGGCTATAACGAATCAACTGGATATAAATTTTACTGGGAAAATAAAAACGTATACATTATTGAAATGGCAAATGAAGATCGCGAGGCTGTTATATCATATCTTATTCAACGTTTTGTTTTACCCAACAATGGTATTGACATTGACCCGCCGATAGTAGTTTATAGTCAACCATGTAATAGTTTTAATTGATTTTTTTATTCTGCAATAACGATTTACATTTTTTCTACAGATCATTATAACCCAATTGGCAACGGAGAAAAAATGGCACCGGATGTTGCAGTTCGTCCAAGCGAAGTACACGTTCCACGACCACTAATTCCTCACCCTGGCCCTCCTCCCAGTACCACGACTGTATTTTGAGTTTTCATATATTTGTGTCATAATATCACTTTCTTACTCTATTATTAATAATACTTTATATAGAATCGTAACCATGCAAGAATTATTTGTGAAATTGCTAACGCTCAAAAACTTGGTAAATGGGAAGAAAGATGCGAAACCTGGATGCATGAAATATATGTACGATGTGTATTCGGTGTCAAGATTTATGACATAACAACTTCACTAGGTACAGCACAGAGAGCAATGATAGTACGTCTAATTACCTTTTAATTATTCTATATATTATTATATAGTTCATTTCTGAAATATTTTTAACATTAGGCCAAGTTATGGACGCGCCAAGCACTAGAAGGAAGTGTGTTATCAACTAATGCAACTTTGGCAACGGCAGGAGTGCGTGTTAAAACGGTAAGATGATATAATTAATCTACTTTCACATCCTCTACCAGTTGTCTAAAGTAGCATTTACAATATAATAGTGGGATTTCGGTACTATGCAATTCAATACTCTCACACCTACTGCCTGCACTGGAGCAAATCTTCCCACATATCAGGTCACTATTCCGATATCGGATGTTTTCTGGAACCCTCCCATTGTTAACGGAATTGTAAACGAAGCAGGATATACTCCAACAGTCCCTAATGAAGTTGTTGATAATAATTTTGTCATAGATTTATATGGAATTCAACGATGGGTTCAAAATGCACAAAAATAAGAATTACTAAATAGAAAACAAATCTGTTCTATTTAATGATGGATCTCTAAAGATTAGAATAGGTGGATCAGACTATTTTTCATCTGAATAATCAACTAAAATTTGAGATATCAAATCTTCTCAGATAATTTTTTCACCATCTAAAGAAGATACTTTAGGATTTGTAGGATCGGGCTTTTGCCTTGTATCAATATCAATAATTAAGTGGAAGGGCTGGTTTCCATCAATACATTCGTGAGTATCATGTATTCTATAAACTTCGCTAGGATGATCTATCACTGTATAACCTTTTTTTGCTATCTGAATTATATATTGAGAATGAATCTCCTCAGATCGATATGCATCTAAAAGTGCAGTATCATTTTTATCGGTATGGCCATTGGATGCAAGCCAGTATTTATAAAATATATATTCTTTATTGCCAGGTTTATAATCAAGATTCGTTAAACTCATAAAAAGCTATTTGCTTCATTATATTCGGCTGGCTTTTGATTTAAGCACTGTTGTTGTAGGCTCAAAGAGCTATGATCCTTTAGGGTCGCCCCTTCGGGCCTGCTCGGCAATAATGATTCACGAAAACATTTTTTTGCTTCACTAGACAAACTCATTTATTGATTTGTATATGTGTTATTTATATATGTAGTAATCTTAAATTTGTTTATATAAATATTGTTACAAAAAGTTTAATTCGAAAAATAATTATTTCATATATGCAAAATTGAATGTTATTGATTATTGATATTAGTATGGGATTTTATTCTTGTCCAAATACTTTTATTGATGGACGTATTTGTGGAAAAGGGTGCTATCGTCAAGAAGGATGTGCTCTTCATTGGAAAATTCGACTCCGTACTCCGTGTGGTGAATGTGGTATGCCAACTAGATCTTTATATGGCATGTGTGTGAAACATTCAGGAATATATCGTAGAAGAGTCAATTATCATCAAAAAAAAGCAAGATGGATTGCGTACAAAGATTGCTATGTTTGAGAATCTTATATCTGACGTACCCGATTCTAGATATGAAGTATAATCATATGCTTACCATATACCAATTATTTTTTCCAGGACTCTCACCTTCTCACAATAACTGCTCAAAGCCAGAAAAAGGTAGATAGCTTATATTGTACTGATAATATATATATATATTTTTTCTGAGAGACAAAGAGGAAAAAAAGGATTACAGATTTCAAGACTTTATTTTGGGAGAAGTAGCACTTCGTGCCTGATCGATCTCATGTCTTATTCGCGTCCATTTTCCAATATAATTATAATAACCATGACCTATTCGATTTTTTTAGGTAAACACTAGAGATTTTGACCGAGATAATTAATTTTGATTTGAAAAAATAAGTAGGCTAATGTATAATCAATCTACTTATCGATATATATTATTTACATATATATGATGGCAACCATTCTAAAAAATAAGTAGGCTAATGTATAATCAATCTACTTATCGATATATATTATTTACATATATATGATGGCAACCATTC